TAGAATCATACTTGGAAGAAGTAATAGCAAGAGGATGAGCATGCTTAAACCTAATTAGAAATAAAGGAACGGGAAAAAAGATTAAAAAAGGAAAATAATTAAGCTAAGTTCAGAATGGGATGTATTATTTGCGAAAATCACGATTCCTAATTGCGGGATTTGTGACTCTGAAATCCGCAATACCGCAATCGCTGGTACCGCAATTACCCAACCAGTCATCATACCAAAAGGAACAATTCCCCTTTCCAATATCCCAACAAATAAGATCCTCAGTGTTTTTAGCAACCTTCAATATCTCTCTCCAAGTAATAGAATCATACTTGGAAGAAGTAATAGCAAGAGGATGAGCATGCTTAAACCTAATTAGAAATAAAGGAACGGGAAAAAAGATTAAAAAAGGAAAATAATTAAGCTAAGTTCAGAATGGGATGTATTATTTGCGAAAATCACGATTCCTAATTGCGGGATTTGTGACTCTGAAATCCGCAATACCGCAATCGCTGGTACCGCAATTACCCAACCAGTCATCATACCAAAAGGAACAATTCCCCTTTCCAATATCCCAACAAATAAGATCCTCAGTGTTTTTAGCAACCTTCAATATCTCTCTCCAAGTAATAGAATCATACTTGGAAGAAGTAATAGCAAGAGGATGAGCATGCTTAAACCTAATTAGAAATAAAGGAACGGGAAAAAAGATTAAAAAAGGAAAATAATTAAGCTAAGTTCAGAATGGGATGTATTATTTGCGAAAATCACGATTCCTAATTGCGGGATTTGTGACTCTGAAATCCGCAATACCGCAATCGCTGGTACCGCAATTACCCAACCAGTCATCATACCAAAAGGAACAATTCCCCTTTCCAATATCCCAACAAATAAGATCCTCAGTGTTTTTAGCAACCTTCAATATCTCTCTCCAAGTAATAGAATCATACTTGGAAGAAGTAATAGCAAGAGGATGAGCATGCTTAAACCTAATTAGAAATAAAGGAACGGGAAAAAAGATTAAAAAAGGAAAATAATTAAGCTAAGTTCAGAATGGGATGTATTATTTGCGAAAATCACGATTCCTAATTGCGGGATTTGTGACTCTGAAATCCGCAATACCGCAATCGCTGGTACCGCAATTACCCAACCAGTCATCATACCAAAAGGAACAATTCCCCTTTCCAATATCCCAACAAATAAGATCCTCAGTGTTTTTAGCAACCTTCAATATCTCTCTCCAAGTAATAGAATCATACTTGGAAGAAGTAATAGCAAGAGGATGAGCATGCTTAAACCTAATTAGAAATAAAGGAACGGGAAAAAAGATTAAAAAAGGAAAATAATTAAGCTAAGTTCAGAATGGGATGTATTATTTGCGAAAATCACGATTCCTAATTGCGGGATTTGTGACTCTGAAATCCGCAATACCGCAATCGCTGGTACCGCAATTACCCAACCAGTCATCATACCAAAAGGAACAATTCCCCTTTCCAATATCCCAACAAATAAGATCCTCAGTGTTTTTAGCAACCTTCAATATCTCTCTCCAAGTAATAGAATCATACTTGGAAGAAGTAATAGCAAGAGGATGAGCATGCTTAAACCTAATTAGAAATAAAGGAACGGGAAAAAAGATTAAAAAAGGAAAATAATTAAGCTAAGTTCAGAATGGGATGTATTATTTGCGAAAATCACGATTCCTAATTGCGGGATTTGTGACTCTGAAATCCGCAATACCGCAATCGCTGGTACCGCAATTACCCAACCAGTCATCATACCAAAAGGAACAATTCCCCTTTCCAATATCCCAACAAATAAGATCCTCAGTGTTTTTAGCAACCTTCAATATCTCTCTCCAAGTAATAGAATCATACTTGGAAGAAGTAATAGCAAGAGGATGAGCATGCTTAAACCTAATTAGAAATAAAGGAACGGGAAAAAAGATTAAAAAAGGAAAATAATTAAGCTAAGTTCAGAATGGGATGTATTATTTGCGAAAATCACGATTCCTAATTGCGGGATTTGTGACTCTGAAATCCGCAATACCGCAATCGCTGGTACCGCAATTACCCAACCAGTCATCATACCAAAAGGAACAATTCCCCTTTCCAATATCCCAACAAATAAGATCCTCAGTGTTTTTAGCAACCTTCAATATCTCTCTCCAAGTAATAGAATCATACTTGGAAGAAGTAATAGCAAGAGGATGAGCATGCTTAAACCTAATTAGAAATAAAGGAACGGGAAAAAAGATTAAAAAAGGAAAATAATTAAGCTAAGTTCAGAATGGGATGTATTATTTGCGAAAATCACGATTCCTAATTGCGGGATTTGTGACTCTGAAATCCGCAATACCGCAATCGCTGGTACCGCAATTACCCAACCAGTCATCATACCAAAAGGAACAATTCCCCTTTCCAATATCCCAACAAATAAGATCCTCAGTGTTTTTAGCAACCTTCAATATCTCTCTCCAAGTAATAGAATCATACTTGGAAGAAGTAATAGCAAGAGGATGAGCATGCTTAAACCTAATTAGAAATAAAGGAACGGGAAAAAAGATTAAAAAAGGAAAATAATTAAGCTAAGTTCAGAATGGGATGTATTATTTGCGAAAATCACGATTCCTAATTGCGGGATTTGTGACTCTGAAATCCGCAATACCGCAATCGCTGGTACCGCAATTACCCAACCAGTCATCATACCAAAAGGAACAATTCCCCTTTCCAATATCCCAACAAATAAGATCCTCAGTGTTTTTAGCAACCTTCAATATCTCTCTCCAAGTAATAGAATCATACTTGGAAGAAGTAATAGCAAGAGGATGAGCATGCTTAAACCTAATTAGAAATAAAGGAACGGGAAAAAAGATTAAAAAAGGAAAATAATTAAGCTAAGTTCAGAATGGGATGTATTATTTGCGAAAATCACGATTCCTAATTGCGGGATTTGTGACTCTGAAATCCGCAATACCGCAATCGCTGGTACCGCAATTACCCAACCAGTCATCATACCAAAAGGAACAATTCCCCTTTCCAATATCCCAACAAATAAGATCCTCAGTGTTTTTAGCAACCTTCAATATCTCTCTCCAAGTAATAGAATCATACTTGGAAGAAGTAATAGCAAGAGGATGAGCATGCTTAAACCTAATTAGAAATAAAGGAACGGGAAAAAAGATTAAAAAAGGAAAATAATTAAGCTAAGTTCAGAATGGGATGTATTATTTGCGAAAATCACGATTCCTAATTGCGGGATTTGTGACTCTGAAATCCGCAATACCGCAATCGCTGGTACCGCAATTACCCAACCAGTCATCATACCAAAAGGAACAATTCCCCTTTCCAATATCCCAACAAATAAGATCCTCAGTGTTTTTAGCAACCTTCAATATCTCTCTCCAAGTAATAGAATCATACTTGGAAGAAGTAATAGCAAGAGGATGAGCATGCTTAAACCTAATTAGAAATAAAGGAACGGAAAAAAAGATTAAAAAAGGAAAATAATTAAGCTAAGTTCAGAATGGGATGTATTATTTGCGAAAATCACGATTCCTAATTGCGGGATTTGTGACTCTGAAATCCGCAATACCGCAATCGCTGGTACCGCAATTACCCAACCAGTCATCATACCAAAAGGAACAATTCCCCTTTCCAATATCCCAACAAATAAGATCCTCAGTGTTTTTAGCAACCTTCAATATCTCTCTCCAAGTAATAGAATCATACTTGGAAGAAGTAATAGCAAGAGGATGAGCATGCTTAAACCTAATTAGAAATAAAGGAACGGGAAAAAAGATTAAAAAAGGAAAATAATTAAGCTAAGTTCAGAATGGGATGTATTATTTGCGAAAATCACGATTCCTAATTGCGGGATTTGTGACTCTGAAATCCGCAATACCGCAATCGCTGGTACCGCATTTTAATTTCGCAGAAACTTATTTGTCAGGATGAGATTTGATCCAAATTTGTCAGTGTTGTGCCACCGGATCAATTTTGCGACATCTGGGTTAATCAAAACATTGAAATATTCCCCCAACAACGAGGGAAGACTGGCATATTATCAAACATATTTTTGGTTTGAAAAAAATGAGTAGGATCAATGATGGAAACACTCCTTTCAATTAACACAAATTTTATTGGATGAATTAGCAATGACACCCTGACATTCTTAGTATTTTTTGTATATATTGGTTATATTGCAGTTAATCATAGGTTGCAAAATGGCAACAATTTGATGATTATGAATTTTTGGTTTACGAGTCTTCTTTTATTCAAGATATACTAAAGATGCTCTAAATCATTGGAGCTGGCTTTATTAAAGTGAGTTGATCACATGATTCTATCAATTTGTCAAGCAAAATTTGATTGAGTAGACTCACAATTTTATGTATAATGTAGTTTAAACTATTAGCTTTGTTAGATTTGAGATTGCTAGGTTTTGAAGAACGCGCCATCGACCTCATTCCCCTTGGAGAATGAGCGCAAAAAAGAGACAATTCAAGCTTCGATTCTAGAGAGTCATCATTTTTTTTTCGATTTCAGGGATGATTTCTCATTAAGCCACAGATTTGCAATGTTAATTGTAGCAGCACCTAATAATGTTCCACTAGGGTAAAAGTTTGTGATGTTTGGGTCAAGGGAAATAGTTTGCATATTTTGCAAAGTGTTTCTTGAAACCTTTATCATATATGCTTGGGTTTCTTGAAAACCGTTAGACCACTGCAATTTTACATTTAGTAGTATTTAGTAAGTTGCATGACAAACTTCAGTAGTACTGCCAAGGTTTCAAAAATTGCAGGCATGTGGGAAAGTTTGCAAGAAATCTTGGTATGTATGCCTGAACGTTTTTCTTTATTTGCAAAATATTATAAACTGTTGTTATGGTTTGCAAAATCTTAAAACTATTGTTCTTTTTCATAAAATGACCAAATTATTGTGAGTTTTAGACAAATAACCCAATTTTGTTTCAACTATGGAATTATTGCACTAAATTCAGTGTTCTTTTGCAGATGGATGTTTGGGCAAAGGAAAGAGATGTTGCTGGTCTTAGAGCTAGCATTAATACATTGACATCTGAGGTGCAACGCTTGATTAAAACCTGTGCAGAGTGGAAAGAAGCAGAAGAATCTTTGAGGAGAAAGTGGAAGAAAATTGAAGAATTTGACTCTCGCAGATCAGAACTTGAGTCCATCTATACTGCACTTCTTCAGGCTAACATTGTTAAGTATCTTGCAGTTTTTCCTGAGTCACTTGGCTTGATTTATATGTGTGTTAATAAAGAGAATTGTCAAATGAATTTTATTACTTTTAAGTTATGTAGGTTATTAAATGATTTGAAAGTCTTTATGTCTATGATTATAGAATAAATTGCCTAGAATCTAGCTGTGATCAGGCAAGAAATTGAGGTTAATGTTAGCTCTAGTTTATTAAATTTCTTGCAATTTAGATGCGCTAATTATCTAAAATAATTCTGCAAGCTCTACCATGCGAATTTGTTCTTAAATGGTCAAGCAAGCCATTCTTCTAAAATAAAACCAACTGCAACAAGAATTAGGCGAGCTCATGTCCTCTTGTTATTTTGCATGCAAATCTCAATGCTATTTTTCATTTCAAAAGGAAAGATAAGATGTAGTTTCTTATTGATTTATTGATGTAATACCTTGATGTCACCCGTATATTAGATGATTTTTCCAAAATTGCAGTTTTTAACTGATCAACTAGATTGCTTTAAATATCCGGAGCATTCACACACATAGCACACACTTCTTATGTATTTACAAATATTTACAAATCTCACACCTTCAAATCTCACACCTTAACTTTCATATTTATACACATGGCACTCAAATCTTTAATATCTCATAAAAAAATGCTGTATGACCACTTTTTAAAATTGAAGCAAACATTTTCCTGCATAGGTTTAAAGAACTAAAGTGCTATGTATGTAAATATGAAATTTTAGGTTTGAAATATGTAAATACCTAGGAATTATGTGTAACGTATGTGAATTTCCTTAAATATATTTGCTGTTATTAAGAAATTATACCAACTTCTGAGAAAATGCCGCTGTTTAAATTGTGCTAGAATCGTTTGTTTTGCAATTTGAACTGCCTGTAGGATGCATCTGAATTCTGGGACCACCAACCAGCAGCCGCACAAGAATATGCGGCAAGAACGATCATTCCAGCATGCACTGCTGTGGTTGATATCTCGTCGAGTTCGAAGGATCTTATAGAGAAAGAGCTGTCCTCCTTCCATCAGAGCCTGGATGATAGATTATTCATGCTGCCATCAACACCACAGGTTAATTCTTCACTTCAGTTTTTGGTTAAGTTTTTAGCAGCCCATCTTGCTTTCGAAATCAGAAGTTAACTGTGTTTCATATAAATTGCAATGTAATAGAACTCATTTATTCTTTCTGGTAGTTTTTTCGAAAGAGAAATTTGAAGCTTCTGAGTATTTATTTTTTTGGTAGACTTAACCAAAAAATAAAGTGCCAAAATAGTATCCTGGCTTAGGGTTGTAATTGAGGCGAACCGAGTTGAGTCGAGTATATCATAGTTTAGACTTGGGTTGGTATAATTATAATTCGGTTTGAACTTGTATCGAGCTTTCATGTATTATTTAAGCTTGACTTATTTAAAATTTTTAATGTTTGAAATTGATTTGTTTATGACAAGTGAACAAGTTTATAAGTGAGCTAATAAACAAGCTAAAAATTCAAACGAGTATTCAAACGAGTATCTAGATTTTAACGAGTATCTAGATTTTCATATAAAAAATTAAATAAATAATTTTACAAATCTGATCTCACCCACTAATTTATTGATTATAAATTCTATAAAAATGAAAGATAACTCATGAACCTTAATCATATGAGATGTAATCTCTCATATTTTAGCATGTTCATACTTTGAGGTTTGCACCCAACTCCCACATTCAGATGTAGATGTTGATTTTCCTATAATTATATGCACTTTTCCTTTTTCTAGCTTTTTGGACAATTTTGTGGATTTCTTTTAGATTGAGCTATTGTACTATCCTTATTCTTAATCATATATCTTACAATGATTGCACTGCACTTTCTCAACACTGTACTATCCTTATTCTTAATCATATATCTTACAATAATTGCACTGCACTTTCTCAACACCACTTTTTAATCAGGAAGGATTTATGAGCAGATTGGAAAAGGTAAAATATGCAAGATAATAGAGTTTTAAAGATCCTTGCACAACACGATCACATTGTTGTCTTCGATGCATGCCCTAGCAACTCAGGTTTTAAATGTTTCGTGCGAAACCGAGAGACGCAAAACTTTGAGAGGCCAGAGAGAAAGTGAAATTTGCAAGGGTTTAAAGTTACTTTTAAGTGGTACATACATATCACATAAGTCTTATCTATTTTCACATTTAACACTTAAGCTTTAATAAATTAAATATATAATTAATAATTAATTTAAAAATATTATTATATAATAATATATTATTATTAAATCTATAATTAAATAAATTCTATTTAATTGAATTTTTTTAATTAATATATCATATATGATATGATAACTCTAATATCGAGTATTTAATGAGTTATTTGTAAAACAATAAACGAGTTTGTACGTGAACATAAATGAACGAGTTCTACTAGATTTATGTTTAGTTCATTCAACCTCCGAGCTTTTAAAAATTGCTCAAGCTTGTTTACTTATTAAATTAAATGAACACGATTTAGTCTTAATCAAGCTGAGTTCAAGTTGTTCATCAAGTGCATTGATTCATTTACAACCATAAGTTCTATTTAGATGGGATCATTTTTGTCCCAGAGTTTATAAAAGTGCTAAATTAGTCCCTAGACTATTTCACTAGGGACTGTTTCAACTCATTAAAAACGTTCAGGGATCAAAGTGAGACTTTATAAACTTTGGGACTAAAATAGCTCATCTTGCAAAAAGTCAAAAGACCATTTTGACACTTTTTTGCTTAACCAAAGGATGCAGTGATTTCATCTGGTAAGGACGATCTCCTTACTCAAATGTTCTTTTCTGTAGTATCTAATTTTATTTATGAAGAATTACATATATATACCACTCAATTTCTATGTATATACATATCTAACACATAAACTTCAATTTTTACATACATACTGCCTTACATATGCATGAAAAGGTGTATTTTACTTTTTTTTAATTTAAGACAGTAATATTTTGAATGTGATATGAAATATTTGGGTGACATAAATGTGAAATTTAAAGTTGTGGTTTTAGATATGTAAATGCATAAAAATTGGGTGGTATGCATGTAAATGCCCCTATGTTTTTTTTTTCTTTTCTAGATATTGGCTATGGATTCTAAACAATGTAGATCTTCACTTGGCAAGGCTCTAATTGAGGCTTTTGGTACTACCGGAGCGATGGGTGCAGAAGCCCAAGCAGCTGCAGAAAAAAATGCATCCTTAATAACAGCAAGAGCTGGTGCTGGAGATCCATCTGCAGTACCTTCTATTTGTCGCATTTCTGCTGCTCTTCAGTATCACTGTGGTAAGCTTTCATCAGCTGTGATGTACCCTACATAATATTTGCATTAAATGATTTTCTTTTGTAAATTCAGAGTTTGTTAACATTAGGGGTGTAGCTGAGCCATGCCGACTCGTGCTCGGCTTGATAAGTAGCTCGTAAACTGAGCTCGTTGAGCTAACAAGCCAAGCTCCAGCTAACCTCAACTCAAATTTTTAGCTGATCAACTGGCTAGTTTAAAAAATAATTAATGTTAAACATATTCAAAATATATTTAAATTCAAAACTTTATATTTATATTATTAAAAATGTTAGAAAAATGATATTTTTTATTTTATATCAAGTGATTTTATATTATTCTTCTCCTAATTACGCAATCTATTTGTCATTTTATTATAATACTAACACGAGTAATATCGTTTTCTCTCTTTCATGGTAGGCCGGTTCAAACTCATTCACTTAAGCTCGAGCTCGAGCTTGAACTCGATTAATTAATTAAGTTAAAGTTCAAGTTGAGGTGGCTCAAGCTCGACTCGACTCCATTTACTCGCCTGGTTGACATACTGCACTAATTGAGGAAGTTTGGATTCACAATCTGTTTTGAAAAACAAAAGCCATCAATAGATAAAATTTAGGAATTTTACATATGTATGACTCAATTCCTATTTATTTACACATCTAACACCTGATCTTCAATTTTTATGTATAGGCCACCTTACCTACGAATGAAAATATGTATTTTAAAAAGTTAAAATTGTGGTATTTTTGATGTGATATGAAAGATTTAGGTGATGTAAATGTAAAATGTAATGTTTAGGTGTTAGATTTGTAAATACATAGGAGTTGGGTGGTCAGTATGTAAATGCCTCCCAAACTTCTTTGGTCTCTGAATTTTTTCTTTGAGGAAAATATTATTGTTGCCGAAACTACTCTTTTCTCACGCACTTTTTTGGTCTTTCACATTTTGTCTTACAAACTTTTTTCCTTGCAATAATTTCTCTTGTTACTTTCAAAATTCTTTTTCATGTCAAAGTAAATATTGAGGCTAAAAACCATTCTCTTAAGCGTAGGTTCTTAGTTTTATTTTTGCTGTACTAATAGTTTTTATTTGGTATTAGGTTTAGAAGGAACAGACGATGCCCTAGCATCTGTTTTGGAAGCATTAGACTTCTGCTTAAAACCTTGGGATTCTGAGGCTGTCATATTAGAAAATTTGTCAAAGGCTATCAATGTATTTCACACACGACGAAATCTCATCGACAACGGCCGAGCTTTGTTAAATCGTGCTCATCGTGTGCAACAAGAATACGAAAGGTAGAACTTCGATCTTTTTTTCAGCAGTTTGGATGCTTTCATTTCAGGCATATCTACTTGTATTTGAGAAAATTGTCAAAATAGTCCCCAAACTCTTTTACATGATCATTTTAGTCCTAGAATCTGTAAAAAATTCAATTTAGTCGCCACTCTTTTAAAATGGGCTGAAATAGCCGTCCGTGGAGACTATTTCAGCCCTAATTTAAAAAATTTGAAGACTAATTTCACTTTTGCAGACTCGGAAGCTAAATTGACCACATGCAAATAGTTAATAGATTATTTTAACACTTTACTTATTTGTATTTTATTATGTTATATATAAATAGCATCTTGTTTTTGGCACTTTGTAATGATATACTTAGCTATAAATACTTTATTTATGCTTTTGGAAATTTTGTTTTTTTTATGCGCATGCCTCTATTTATGGATGGGGTCGTCATTGTCCAAATATGAGAGAGCAACAAATTTTAGCAGTCCTGTTAGTCCATCTTTAATCAAGCTTTCTCTTATTTTTCTGAAAAATACTTTAATGAATGGGTAAAAGACATTCTACATCATTTTATGCATTATTTACGGTCAAAAGAGCATGATGAAATTGATTCTTTTGCATCTTACAATTTGTAGGATGGGCAATCATTGTCTCAAGTTAGCTGCCGAGCAAGAGAAAGTTGTCACAGAAAGATGGCTACCTGAGCTCCGAAATGCTATTGTGGATTCTCAAAGATGTCTGGAAGATTGCCAGCGTGTGAGGGGTTTGGTAATATTTTTTAGGGGAATTTATATCTATGCCACACAATTCTCATGTGTGTGTTATATATATATATGTATATATATAATTGCCAGAGGCTATGATACAAACACCTAACCACTCTCATGTGTCTAACCACTCGATCCTGTACTGCAAGGCAGATGCATTTAGGCGGAATCGAACCCGTGACCCCAGGGGACTTACGCTAGGCTGCGAACAACACGTGTGTGTGTTTGCATGTGTGTGTGTGTGTGTGTGTGTATGTGTGTGTGTATATATATATAACATCAAATTTGAAAATTGAAATTTATTTGTAGAGCCAAATTAGTCCTCCTCGGCCATTTATATGATATGAAGTGCTAATTTAGTCCCGATTCCCAGGGCTTTTTTAATATGGGCTGAGATTATCCTCACAGGTGACTATTTCAGCCCATATTAAAATTGTGTGAGAACTAATTTGATATTTCTATATAGTCTGCAATTAAAATCACTCCCTGCAAAAAAAATCTGGAGACCATTTTTTCAGCACTCTTCTCTTTATGTATAACACTTTAATTTCATAATCAAAACTTATGCATATAAAAGTGTATTTCACTTTAGGAAAAGCTAGTAGTAATATTATTTTTCTGTGATATTCAAGATTTAATGTTATATATAAGTAAATTTTAAACTTTAGATGTTACATACAGGAGAATTGTTTGGTATGTGTGTAATTTTCTCCCTTTTCACATTAATCCTCCCTCCCCTCTCTCTCTCTCTCTCTCTCTCTCTCTCTCTCTCTCTCTCTACGTGGATATAAATATAGATTGTGGTGATTGGCAGGTTGATGAATGGTGGGAGCAGCCTGCAGCGACTGTGGTGGATTGGATAACCGTTGACGGGCAGAATGTAAGCACTTGGCTCAACCATGTAAAGAAGTTACAAATGGCGTTTTATGATAAGCAGCTCCTTTAAACTTAATTTACCTATTCTTCTGCTCGCTAATCTTATCAAATATCGTCTTGATGGAAAGTTAATATTAATTTGCATTTATAACATGTCATGTTCCATAGCATGGTGAGAATATTGCCATTTTTGTTCGGAAAATTGGATTATTAGTGATGAGGTTTTTGTTCATTGGATTTACATTGAGATGCGTGCAATATATCAGCTATTGTGTTGCAAGCATCTCAACGTAGATCCAATGCTTAAAAAAATCCCATTTTTGATCAATTGTAAATCAGTATATTCTGACCCGAATTTAAGCTGATTGAGTCTTACAGTCTTCAGAGGGATTGTATTTATGGATGATACAAAGGAGGAAATTTTTATGTATTTGCATTTATAATGCTTTGCTGTTCAAACTTAATGCATGAAAATGTGTATTTTTCTTTTGAAAAAAAATTAATAATATTTATATCTTTTTGTATTATGTTAAACATTTGAGTGTTATGTATGTAAATATAAAAGTTTAGGTGTTGGATATATGAACTTTGTGATACTGTGAAGCTTTAGGGGTGCTAGTGGCATAAAGCTGGGAGTGAACTTATCAAATGAGAAATCAAATTTTGTTTAATTTGGACATTGGAATATGCAGGAATTTGCTTACATTTCATATCAGATTTTAGAGATTTCAATATTGATATGTTAGCTTTTGTCCATCACCGATTATGAGTCAAGGTATTTTGATTTTTTTTTTCTTTTTTTATATAATTATAGATGAAGGTTAATAATGTCTCGGAGCTTGAAATTAATCATAGTCGGTACATACGGTGGTGAAATTTTAATTTTCTATTTCTTGCTGTATCGTTTACATAACAATATATTTTGATTTGTATGCAATTATTGTGAAAGTGTCATCTAAAATATTGTCAATTAAAACACGTCAATATCAATATTCTTTTTTTGTTTACAGGCACATGTATTTTAGAGTATCAATGTTTGTACAATAATTGGTTGAATTCTATCATTGTTAAGCATGAACATACATTTAATATTGATTTCATCGTTCATATGTGTATTTCATGCAATTCAATATATTTCTTATATATATAATGCATAATAGTAGTTGTCGCTAAAATATAATCGTTTGATCTACCCGTCTCCTTTGGTTTGACACCATATTTATAAGAATTAATTCTATGACTACTATCTTTAATTTAACATTTTATTTAAAATGTCTAAATTTATTTTTCCAAATAGTATCATTTTTTTACTATTAATTTTACATCAATTATTATGTTATGATTTAATTATTTTGATTCTTATCAGCATTTATTTATTTCAACATTAGAATATTCGACAATTATTTCTCTCATATTTCTATATCCCTTGTATGTATTACATAATATATACAAAATAATTAATTAAATAATATTTATATTAACTTAAATAAAACATTGACTTACCAAGCTCATTTCGGCTCTCACTTCTCACTTCCACACTCCATGCTCTTTTCCTTACATTTTATTCTTTGACCTTGCGTAAGAGATCACAACTGTACTCGACTTTAACATTTCAACACCATCACCCTCGCCTGCTAGTCGACAACTCTTCCTTCGGTTTCAATCGCAAGGTTCATCTCCCTTGTCTCTCTTTCCTGCTCGATGACGACCATGAATGTCGTTGTTTGACATTGTAACCTTCGGCATCCTACGAAGGTGAGCATTCCTCTACCTTATCTTTCTTATTCTTCTCTTATTTCCTTTCGTCTCTCTTTCTTTGCCTTTCGGCTTCCTTCATGCACGTGGTTTTGCCACTAGGATTACACATAAGAGTCCTCTTCTTCTCATCCTTTCTCGCTCTCTTCTCTACTTTTCTTTCTTCCTCATTTCATCTCTATTTATTTTGTCTGTCTATGACCATTTTGCTTCGTTTCCAGCTTATGAAACTTTGGTGTTACAAGTATTAAAACCAAATGTTACAAACAATGAGTCTTAACCATGGTTTGAATAAACAGCCGCAACTAGGTTAGGGTTGAATTTCATTTTGCAAAGCAAGCCATAAAAATTTTCAAAAATCAATAAAAACCATATATGACTAACTAATTAAGTATGGGGATTAATATTTGGTTAATTAAAAGAGGGATCATATTTTGATTAAAAGCTTTACTAAAGACTTAACAAGTCTTGGTCCAAGTCATTCTTAATTCAAATTAAAATATGTTTTTATTGTCATTAAGTCTTTAGTCAAGTCATAATTACTTAACTTAATCAAAGTTTAAGTTAATTTCTTCTCAAACAACGGTTAGTATTGACAAATCCTGATTAATCTTTGTTATCTTTAATTAATGTTTTATAAGCCTTTTAATTAAATTTGAACCAGCCTTATTTAGGATTAGGGTAGACCAGACTAAATTTTAAAAAATTAATTAAACAACTTTGCTTGATATTTATGTATATTTGAATAAACAGTGCTTCTTATTTATTTATTTTTTTTATAAAATTATTTATAATTTCTTCCAAGATTTATCTAAGAGATGAAAATGGTATTGATTAGAGTCTTGACATGAAGTTGACCTTATGTGAAACTGCTCAATCTAAACCCCATCATAACCTAAAATGGGTTAGAAAGTCCAGCCTGAACTTGACCCATCCTCATCCTCACAGTCCCAAGCCTGACTTATATAAGTTATTTAATATAGGTACGATAGGATGTCGACAAAAGTTGTGCTGCATAATCAGACCTATTGGTTGACATTCTTGATATAAGACCCCTCAGATTGGGGGTTGGCACAGTTGGCCTTATCGAGGTGGTACTCGGATTGTTAGGCACATTAGAAGTGGTTGAAGACTCATATAATAACCTCTGACCATTCCTTATATATATATATCAACAAAAGTTTTGGTAGTAATTAATTTTAAAAAATCAAGATTTTAAATCATAAAGTATGTTATTATCTATCGTTTATGATATTAAAATAATATGAAGTATTGGGAGTGAATTCAACAATTTAACCTCATGAAAAGAAAACTAAAAGTAAAGTCATGGTCACAAAAAATTAACATTCACTAATCTTGGAAAAAACAATATGCTACAAATTTAGCTTTTAAATATATGTAGACTAGATAAATTTTTTTAATATTCACACAATATCTTATAGATTAATAAAGTTTTGATTAGCAAATTTTTAATTAATATAAAAATATTATTGAAATATATATTTTGTATTAAAAGGAAAATGATTTTTTAATGGCCCTGATATAAAAAAATATCATTCACAACAAAAATATCACTATTTATTAACTTACAAAAATTAAAATACACATTTTCATGCATTGCTGTCTGACACCAAAATGTTGTAAATATAAATATTAAACTTCGATATGTAAATACGTAAAATTTGTATGATATGTGTGTAAATTTTCCTATAAAATATCATTTATCATAATTTTTTTTTTTGCAAATTTTTTTTGTAAATACATAAAATTGGCCTCTGCCGTACCCTCTTTCATCATCAGATTAAATTAAGATTAAATATGTGGGATTATAAAAGGTATGGAATGGGCTTTGGAGGAGTCTATTTGAAATCATCTCTATTCTAAACCCAAATTAATTTATATATTAATTAGATAAGATTGTTTACTTCATCCTTAGGGTTAATTAATTGTTAATTAGTTTTAATGATTATTAATTAATTTTTAAGTGTGGTTTTATCCTACAAATTGTCAACTTTTTACAATCATAATGAGCAAATCAGGTCGCCATTGAGTGACTAATGACATGCCAACGACAAATCCTCACCGTACATTTATTTATATATTTCACCAATTTTGTCTACTCATCCAAGGAAAAAAAATTGCAATATATTTAACTTTTTCTTCTGTAAAAAAATAAATCATTAAAAATTCTATAAAATGTTAGTCTGAAGGGGAAAAAGTCAGTAAATTATTTTATAATATTGTTCTATAAAAATTATATAAATTAATATTTTTATTTGATGGCATGTATTAAATTAATTTAATATTAAACTGATGTGCGTACATCTGTTTATATGAGGTCACAAACTTTTTATGCTAGAAATCCCAAAAAGAGGAAAAAATCACGGGGCTTAGTCTAATTTAACTAATTCACTATATTTGAAAGAATATGGGCCCACTCTCAAATTGAATCAGAGAAGCTGGAATTATAATGTTGATGTACAATTGTAGTTCAATAGCAGTAGCTATAACGGGTCACAAAGATTGTAGTCAATTGTTATGAAGGCAGTAGTCTGTCATAGATGTTGTAGACTGTGGTTGTATCATAGAGACGGGAGTTGAAAGTCGTGGTAGTAGTTGGTCATGTAAGACGTAGATAGTTGCTTTAAGAGCATCGGTTGACTATATAAGTTTTAGTAGGAAGCTGCATGAGCTGCAGGCCACATAGGTAGAGTTTGTCACAAAGGCCACAGTGATGAACTGTAATAACATATGTAGATCATCAAGACTAGAGTTGAGAGTCTTATGAAGTGTTGACCACGTAGGTCATAGTTTGTAATGTAGTTTGATATGCACCTGGTGCTTCCAAGCATGGGTGGCTCACACAAGTTCAAGTGGCATATCAGTAGTACAAGGGTTGGAGTGGGTTGTTGATCCCACAGGGAACAAGACGAACACAATTTGAAAAGTTATAGTCTATAAATATCTGTCCTAGCCTAAAAGGTTCGAAATGCAAGTTCAAGTTTAAACCTATCGTAAAGTTATGAAAAACAGATCTAATCTAACAATGGAGATTATAATTAAACAAATGATTAAAAATTAGTGTCAAACAAGAGTTGAACTATCCCTTATCCCCTACTGGTGGTATAAGGAAATTCAAATGTCAAGAGTTTAGTTCCCTAAATCCCCTTATCAATCCAATTCAATCATCTCCCTGAATGTAAGCATGAACTTATAGACAATATTCCTATTCCAATGAGTTCATGTAGTTAACCTCTTTCGTTCCACTATGTATCATTGCAGATCTCATAGTTCACGAAGGATATTAACATTTCTACTGGCCAAATAGGAAGTAAATTAAGCAAATCAGTAAACTCAACAGTAGTACGACAATTTTCATACAAATCACATAGAAAGATTCAACTATATTCTATCACCATACAATTTAAGGGAGAAATAGAAGAACTACTGCACCGTCTTCAGGGTGGCATTATTATATATTCTTCAGGGTGCATTCCAACACCATCTTTGAGATGCATTGTTGTCCTATCTTTGGGGTGCATTAATGCACTGTCTAGTGCTTTGTTACTTTACAAATTATGCCAGGAATCTGCGATGAACTTTGTGATTTTGTAGAGAGTTTCTTTGCAAGGAGCGGGTAGTTGCTGGTAGTGGTCGACAATAGTGAGCGAGCGATGTCTTGTTC